TATATATATATATATATATATATATATATATATATATATATATATATATATAATTTTTTTGAATGTTGGAATAGTTGCCTTCGATGGACATTTTAATAATAACTGAATAACTACAGGCAGTGTCTTACATGGCTTTATGCAGAGTGAAAATGACTTGTCTTGCCTCCTCTCTGATCTATTATTCACAATGTTCCACTGCAGAGTTCAGAACATTAGATAGTGAAGCTCACTGCTGTGGCTTTCTAGTAACTTTGAAGTTGTTCTGAATTAACCGGATTAAAGAGAAACAAATTGGAGAGCTGACCAGAACTGTTGTTGATGTTCAATAAACCAAACTCAATTGTCGTTTTAGTTAAGCGTGGTCAAATTAATAAAGTGTAACGACGTTGTTTAATAATGACCCACTTAATAGATGACCTGTTCTGTAGCTCACTCTTTAAATGTTTTCACTCTGACTCTCTTCTCACCCTCAGTGGTACATGATCAGTATAGTTCACATCTACAGCCGCTGGAGGAACAGTGAAATCAGATGCTATGTTAACGGACAGCTCGTTTCTTACGGAGACATGGCATGGCACGTCAACACAAATGATGTAAGTGCTCTTCTTTTTACTCCTCCTCCCTACTGGCACCTTTTCTTCCCTGGTCGTGATGTTTTTTGGCTGAGGACTGACTGAGGCTGTCACATCGGCGTCTCTCATGGCTGTAAATGGTGACGTCCGTACATGTTCCATAGCACTCATTGGGCAACATGAGTTTTACCACGTCCACATGGATTTCTCTCAGATAGATGACTGGTGTTTTAGTCTTAATTTGAATATCCATTTAACACAGAGTTGTTCTGCAGTAGAGAGTGGAAGATGGAATATCAAACATTTGGACAACAGATTTATGTACAGAGTGAAAAATGATTAAATGTCAGCATCAATTGTAAATATGTGAACAGAAATTGCAGATACTGTCAGACAGAAGTATTCTTGTTTAAAAAATGTATGACATTTTATGACGTTTGCACGTTTTTCTCCGAGCCAAAAGGAAACCTGTTGTCACACATGGCTCACGGTGACGGAGTTAAAAAGCAATTTGCACTCGTGGTGATGAGAAATATTTCCAAAGGTGTGCTTCACACTGTAGCTGTGTATTCAAGGAAAGATTGTGCAAATGACAGGTTGAGATGTAAACGCTGTTCATGACATATTCCACCACATTAACTAAAGCTCCTTTGACTATTGAAATGTTCCCACGCCTGAAAAGAAAGGTGGAGGCTTATAAATAAAGGATTTTAATCTGTGATTTTATTCTGTGATATATATATATATATCTATCTATCTATCTATCTCTCTATCTCTCTATATCTCTATATATATATATCTCTATATATATATATATCTCTATAT